ACAAAAATTTTAAAATTAATGGTCTTTTGCAACATTTTTTTTAAAAGGTGATTATATGAAAAAAAAAAAAAGATTTGAAATGTGGTTATATATAAAATTTCCATCTATTAATAATAGACTATAATCAAATAAGGCTCGTTGCAAATAATTTGTGATCCATATGACACAGGACTCGAACCAATAGCTGATTCAAATGCGATCCGATGCGAAGGACTCAGTTGTTACCTCTAACATCATGCTGTCCATGTACCACAAAGTACTAATAAAAATGTCAACTCCACTCTTAGAAATCCACCTATGAGGTAGAGATATAGGAAGAGGAAGGGGTTTAGACAAGTAAGTGGAAAGTGGAAAGAAGCAAGCTAGAGGCCATTTGTGAAAGCAATAATAAAACAAAAAAGTAATGCATGAACATCCTCTTTTTCATTAACATGATGTAAAGATTTGAAGTGCAACCATCGTGGGAAACAATAGTAGAATAGGGGTGCACCACTCTTATTTAAAGCTATTTACTTTTTCAATATTAGTTTCCACTTCATTAGTTGGTTCTTTCATTTACCTAATATCTCCTTTTTTATTTATCTAATGCTCCAATTTTTTTTAAGAAAAAGTCAGCGACCTTTAGTGGAGTAAATAAACCCCAATATCCCAATGCAAATCATCATATTTTCACAAAGTACAAGTAATTAGGAGTGAAAGACTACATACTAATAACTTAATCCAATTTGTATTAACATCACGAATTATTTACGGAATACCAAATTAGATGTGAACAAAATATTCACCTACTCTAATAGTATCTTATTGATGTACACCAATTGTTTACAATTACACCATAATAGATTATAATTTTTTCGAACATAAATGTTATACTCTGTATTTAGACTATAACATACCTCATCCATCTAAAGTATCAATAAAATAAACTACTACTATATTAGAATGTCCAAATAAAGTTGTTATCTTTTATATAGTAATTATAGTTTGTATATAATGACCGTTTTACTCATAAATACCCTTTGAAAAATTGGTGGGAAGATGATAAAATTAACTCGACTATAATTTTTTGACACGGCTATTATATAGTATTGTACCTACATATTTCGTAGCAAACATTTGTGACTTTTGAGACTATAAAGTCCAAAAATTAAGAAAGCGACCTTTTTTGAAATTCTAGGGTAAATTATATATTTTAATTTATATGGGAACCAGTGTACGTAAAAATTTACAATATCAACCTTAGTCCTCTATTGCGAAGATTTTGGTTTTTTCGGATGATATGATGGGTCAATCAACCACTCGATATATGTTTAAATGATCATTAATAAATACAGAGTAGATTGTTTTTCAAATTAGCCATTGCAAGTAAATTTAGTATGAATGTATTGAACAACAATATTACCTTTAATTTTTGGGTGCAAGAAAAAATACCTTAATAATTATATATTCTACTACATATATATATATATATATATATATATATATATATATATATATATATATTGACAAATTAATAGTCAAAAATATAATGAGTTTTGTTAAATGATGCGGGGAAGCAAAGGTCTATAGCAAATAGCAACATAGAGAACAACTCGTAGTTAGTGGTTTCAAATCACAAGGATATGGCCTATTAAATCATAAGTAGCAAAGTTAATAATCATATAATTAATTACTTTAGTACACTACTCGTAGTTGACTTATTTTGTATACGATTATTATAAAACTAAACTCAAATTGTTTCAACAGAGCCAATAGATCAGAGTCCTACACTCGTGGAGTAAAGCATGATATATTGGTATTCATTGTTGTTGGTCCTACTTTTTTTTTTTTTCTTGATATATGGTTAGCCTAATGGTCACTTTGGGAGTAGCTAAGATCAAGCTTGTGCACATTGCACACCCATGATTTTTTTTGCAAACGGCTGACTAGAGTTCCTCCTTTTTAATGAAAGTTTCGGCTAGTTTTCTGACACATGCGATGGGTTAAGGCAACGCTTTTTTCAGAATTATTACTATACTAGTTTAAGAGATAGTTAGGCAGCGAGAATGTTAATGTGATAATAGAATAGCGGTTTTAAGGATGAAAACCTAATAGTGACTTAGGGGGGTTAAAAGTAATTTGTGATGTTGCACAGCTCTTTTAAGCAACACTTCTCACGTAAAGCACCTCAATCACACTTAACGAACACATCTTATTAAAGACACTTCTATCTAAGCACTCTAAGAAGTCATTTTTTAGCAGTACATAATATTGATCTATTGGTTCATATATAATTTGGAGAATAAAAACTAAGTAAAAACCCTCATTTTAAAACTTCGACTAACTTTTTTTGGCATGCATGTGTGATGCATGAGCTATATAAGTCAAAACTAGAGAAGAATTCCCACATGAATTTCATACAAACAATGCTTGTAATTATTGATTTACTCATCATCAATACTACACCATAGTGGTAGGGTGAGTTTTCTCCCAGTTCTCATGTTTATTCACTACACAATACTTCGTAATATTTTTCTCAATCTAAGTCTAAACTTATGCAAACAATTAAAATTTTCTTTCCTTCCGTCAAATTTAACAATAGATTTATTCACTGTACAACAATATTTTTCCCAATCCAAACGAATACAATCTTTTATATACATTGATAGATTTGATACGAGTACAAACAAAACACTCGATAGTAAATGCACAATAAAATAATAAACTCTCACTCAATTATAAAAATAAAACATTCAAACCCAACACATATGACAACATTAGAAAAATTCAACAAGTTAAAAAAAATCACAAAGTTTTTTAATTAGGAGTTAGCACCATTTAAAGGGTACCCAATACCATGCCTTGTACTAGGAAACATAGCAAAAATACCACTACAAAGACCACCAACAATCGGAGGCAACACCATAAGCATAGTCTTCCGAGTAGTCTCCAACGCCGGTATGTAACAATCCACCGTGTTCTTGTCCAAACCCGCCACGACAACAAACACAAAAACCGACGTGACAGCATGTACAAAATCCCCTGCCCTTAGCTTATACTTAGACATATCAACGTTACTAGAACGACTAGTAGGCCAAAACCCCTTGGGTGTGGCAATCCCATAGTGTACGTTCCCCTCGTCGTCGACATAGCTATCTGTGAACGTAGAAAAAGCACAATTAAACCCACAAATTACTAGAAAAACACCCATTATGTACTTGTTTATGGTGTGACATTGACCATTGTTGCTTAAAATTGGACTTAAAAATTGGAACATGAAAACTGTTCCTGTTGGTAGTAATTTTAGTAGGCTTCCTAACCCATTAAAAGCTTGATCTTTTAATGATTTTTTTGCCATTTTTATGAATTCTAAATTTGATGTTATATTTTTGATGATTTTATTGTATGGAAAAAGTTGTTTATATAGATTAAGGTTTATGTTTTGGTGGGAAAGAGTTGCTTCCAAGAAATTTATTTAGTTCAGTTAAAACTTTAAGTTTAGAAGTATAGTTTGCGTGTAATTAACTTATGAATAAAGGAAGCTGACAGTTTTAGCATAACATCATAAAATCCAGCAAAGTATGTAATTAAAATTTCATTTATAGTTTGTGACATACAATACGTACATAATTGTATTATAAATGTGGATAGAGTTAGTTTTAATTTGCTTGTACTCTTTCAGTCATGTCATACTAGGCCATACATATGGTCTGTTTTAAGTCATCACAATAAAACAATACCTTTTGAATTAAAGGTGCAATCTATTTTCGATCTTATTTGAACTTATTAGATTTATATTTTAGCTGTAAAATTAAAGTTAATTAACTCTTACCATAAATATGGTTCTAGAACGTTACAAGTAACTCGATTTCTTAAAGATAACTCATAATTAAACGTGATGACTTGAATTTGTTTAGAGACGGAGAGTCAAATACGACCAAATTAAATTCGAAAGGAAAGGAATTAGTTGTTGAGCAGGCTTATGATGATATTATGTCTAGTTGTAAGAGTGTATAAAGACAGTTAATCGTTACGTCTAGTTGTATAACCTAGAAAAAGGTTCTTTAAAGTTGGAAGTAAGTTGCACGAAATGATAAAATGACATAAACAAGATTGAGATTGTCAGCGAAGATGTCTCTAAAACTAAAAGGCAACAGCAAACTGTTAAAGGATAACGCAACAAATACTAAAACCAAAGCTAAGTACTCTATGGATTTATGGTTATACACGGGCGAAAACGGCCATAAACATAACGCGAGTAAAATTATTCAATTGTTGTACTACATATAAAATATGAGTTTGCCACAGTTTCGGATGAAAATAATAGGACCTTTAGCAGGCCCTTTTAAAGGGAGAAGACTGGTCTCGGTCCGAGCTGCGGCTGGCTGAGGATTTCCTGCACGGTGAACACATGTAAACTGGCCTCGGGGGGTTGTGCCGAGGAAGGCCCCTCGGATGCCGAAGTCAGTAATGTGTTTAAGGTAGAGCAATGCCCAAGAGTACTAAGAGCGTAAGGCTTTTGGTGTGTAAGAGTGAATGTGAGAGGAACTGAATTAGCATCCCCTTACTTTGACTTACTTGGAGGCTTTTATACCTTGACTTAACGGATAAGTGGGCTCGCCATTAACTGGGCTTGACTGACTTGGCATGAAATGGAGAGTTGAACCTTGCTTTAGGCTTCAAATTGTATCATTATGGACATACCCAATTGAGGTGAAATTGGACCAAAATAGCCACATTAGTATACATCTTGGTATGGGTTGTAAATTTGTGATGGCGAGTTGCCGAGTTGGCGACGAATAGACTAGCATGTTGATCATGACCAGCGTGCTTCCTAAAGCATTTTCTTTATCTTCAGTTTACAGATTGTTGTTGTCGACCTTGGGGGGGGGGGGGGGGGGGGGGTGGGGGATTTCGGGGATGGCTGGCTTTGCATCTAAGTCCTATCATAACTCAAGTATAACTATTTGTCCGAAATTTCACATCCTACATCATTGCAAGAGATTGGCTATAAAACAGTGTAAGGGTGAAAAAAGGGATGATAGACTATTCATATTCTCATGGTATGTAAAAATCGTCATAAGACATAAATTACACACATTCATATTTCTAATCTCTCTATTATTTGTTTTTTTGGCACGAAGTTGCGAGCCGACAATCAAGCTGTAAGTTTACATATAGAGCTTCAAAATCCACATTTGAATGATCGACAACATGGCAAACATGATGCATTTGAAAACCTCAAATCCAAAGGCTCCCAAAAGCTTCTTCAAGTGCCCTTTTCCGGCCAAGTTCCGGAGTCCAACCTCCTGCACGTCCACCCTTTTCAGCTCGCAGCTTCATCATTTCTTCATCATCAAGATCGGGGCCCCCAAGGGGTATCGGTTGTGGGGCCATTCCCATCGGTCTTGGTTGCATAAATGCCCCTCCTGCAACTGCAGGTGCATACCCTTGCGCTGTGGTAGATATCCCTGCTTGTGGGTTCTGTTCTGTGGCCTGCTTACACAAACAAGAGATTTAGCTTTGGAAAGATTCTAGTCATATGGACGCCTCTTAATACCCATGCTAAAAGGGAAGCAGAACTTTGCTTTGTGACAAAGATGACGGTGTAAAAATGCAATATGCACTGTTCAAAAAAACTTCAATAGCTCAAGGCCCTCAAAGCAATATGGGATGTTCTAAAAAAATTCTCTATAGTTTAGAGTAATGACTTGAAGAGACCACAAGGTGAATCTGATCACAGTCCAATCCTTACAAACAAACAGGATTAGATCTCAAATGTGCACAACCAAAAACAGATTAAAGTTGTTAAAACAATGGATGGACTGGCGAGAGTGATCACTCACCTACAATTTTGCATGGTCCAATCTTGCAAACAGACGAGATTAGATCTCCTATTGCCTAAGCTACTTTCAGTACTAAAAGATAATCTGACTAAATTGAGTGTGTTTTTATTAATATTAACCTGCAGAGGTACAGCCTGCCAAACCAAGCAGTGAAGTCGCTCTATGGTCTCTTCCAATCCAATACAGAAAAAGGAGAAAAGGGAGAAAAAGAGCTCATCCATGAGGAGAAAAAAATAACAAATTTAACATGTATCCAATTGCAGATAGTCAGTGAACACAAGTATAAAGCCAAGGATATTTTAACTATTTTAAAGAGGAAAAATTTAACACCCAATCCTGCATCCATGAAACACCAGCATTGCCCCTTGCAGTTAATCATGTGGTCTGTTTCAGCATTTTCAAATGAATCAACCCTCTCAATATAACCATTCTACCATCTCTTGAAGTAAGCAAACACAAAGGTAATATGTTCAGGACAAGGAATGAAATATACATTTGAGAACAAAGGAATTGCTAATCAAGCATTGGCTTCATCATATCAGTAGACATTATCAACCATTGCAGAACCAAGGAAAAGGGGAAACACATATATGTGTGGCTAGTTCTTCCTAAATTTGAGCTTGTCAGATTGGCACTCGGTCAGAGTAAAAACATGTAGTGACTTGAAAGCAGGACAGACATAATTCACATGAATATTGTTGAAGCTCCTAGGAGCAATATGAATTGTCCTGATGGTTCTTGAGAGTGGAGAGTTGGGACTTACGTTCCTTTGCTATGATAAGCTTAGGTGCTATTGAAGACCTTTCACTCGCAACTATGCATAACAGACTTTCTACGGCAACCTGATAAAAAGTGGGTTCCCAAATTCCCTGAATGATAGAGGCCTTCAATAGTTCAATTCTCCAATTCATCAATAAGTCTACTGGTCAGGTATATGATTATATCCACTACCAATGAATGTGTAAGGACCCATTAAAGCAATCTATCTAATTTGCTAAAGGTAAGACAGCAAACATATAGCCAACCCCAGACCCTGCCCTCGACAGGATCTTCAATAGGTGGTGGTTATTTTTAAAGTTGCAGCCATCTGACTGTGCACTAACAAACTGCAAGCAAATCTACATCTTCTTGACTCACCCATACAGGACTAGCAAAGGAAATGGAATAGAGCAAGTACACCACCCAAGGTAAAGTCTAGCCCATAGTCTGTGGGTTGCAAAAATGAAAAGGATTTTAGAAAACATTACTATCCAGATTGGCAATCGGTGGATCTAGGAAAAGGCAAGTGGACTGTTCCACTTTTCCTAATTAGACAACCCAACCTATGATTGCTCTTTCTAAAATACTAAAAAAGCAAATTGGAGAATCAAATGTACATCTCCAAAGGTGCTATCAAAGACCATAATGGATTACATCAACTATCAAGAACAACTATGTTTTGAGCATGGCTTGCTGATGGCTAAGATACTGGATCGGTGGCCAATGCTATACTGGCAATCAAAGTGAACTATTTTGAGGTTTTATAAATGCAATATAGATGGACCAAACAAATAAAAGGCCCCTCAAGGCCTCAATATATTGTGATTGTGTTAGAGAAGCATTCAAGCATACAGCTTTCAAGTAAAACAGGAATTACTAAATTAATTTGAGCATAATTACATAAATAACACTTTCGTGATAACAGTAAACAGCAAATGGTATTCTTACTGCCCCAAAAAAGAATAAAAAGGGAGTACTTTTAATTTTTTAAAACTCCATATTGATGATGATATTAAAGCTGCCAAGCCCACCATTTAGGAAATTCAAATACCTATATGCTTAAAAACATTTCTAACCCTTCTAGCTTGTTCTTTGCGCAATGATACAAAACTCCAAGTTCAAGTTCAACAGCGCTTTGCTATCTCTGGGTTATCTTTTTTCACACTAGCATCATTTTTGGTTCCCTCATAAAACTAAAGGTTCTTAAATATGATTAGACCACACCAACTAAGGGAGTAAGGGTTCAACTTACGTATCCAGCTTTGATTGTACCAAAATAGAAATTACAACCACCTTTGAATTTTATTCCAGCCAATAAAAGAAGTAGGTTCAAGCTTAATGCTTGCTACTGAGAATATAGGTTTCCTCTAATATGACACAAGAGGATGCTTTCTTTTATAGCAGACTAAGTAAACAAAAGGCTATGCTGCATCCAATCTGGTTCAGCTGCAGACTAAAGCCAACAGAGTACCTTTTCTGGATGATGGCACTGGGCAGCAAGGAAATGGGAACATATTAAAGTGTAGGCACTCTCCAAAGACTTAATAGAGGGAACTCTGTCAACAATCTCTCTCCAATTGCATTAATTTGTGTGCAAACAGTAAATTTTAAGAACTTTTATAAACGGAGGTAAATTATAATTAGTCACACAGCTCACACTTATACTAATCAATTTTGATTTATTGAATGACAGTCACTTTCTCTAGTTTTCATATTCTTGATTTTAGTTTTCAAAGAAAAAAAAATGATAACAAACAAGCCCAACAATTTCTTTCTAATTTTGTGCATCATTAGCCACCGCCAACTTTAACGATTAATTTCAAAATCAAATAAAGTAAATTAGTAAAACCAAAAATATAGTTCATGACAGCACTTGTAATTAAAGAGCAACTGCTTTGCTTTATTATGGTCCCACAAAACTTGGATAGTTTGAAACCAAGAAAGATCAACCAATGATTAGACCTGCAAAATTAATCAACAATATTCCAATTGAAGAGGGAAATAAGTATTCTACCATCTAGAAAAATTCAATACACTTGAGAGCATCTTAGAAAATCGTATGAGATCTGACAAAAACCATAATAGACCTAATATGTATAATTTTTATACCACCCCTGCACAGTAATACACTTGAGAGCATCTTAGAAAATCGTATGAGATCTGACAAAAACCATAATAGACCTAATATGTATAATTTTTATACCACCCCTGCGCAGTGCTAAGGGTTACCTTTTTTCCATTTGATAGATACAGACCTACATATTCTTATAGATTCATACTCACATCTCGTGCGACATATGACAGTGTGCAGTACTTCCTATATAAATCAGGCACGGAGCAGTTCCAATTAGGTTTGTACAACAATAGATAATCTAATAATCCTTGGGAGTTTTGGTCATGGAAGAGCATTATGACACAATTTAGTCCAAGAAGAGAAAAAAAATGGTTAAAACATACCACATCAGCATCAACTTGCGCAAGTCCCTTGCTGGCTGCCAGAGCTGCCGCTAGCTCCTCTGCCTGTGCAAACATAAATGTTCAAAAACTTCCCTTTTGATGTATAGTTCTAAACGGTAATCCTCCTAAAAAAAAAACTCTAAAAAGTTTATCCTATATATAGAGTAGAATTTTTTTGCAAAATGTGATTGATTGGTGATGACAATATCTTCAAGTTTAGGACAAGTGAAAGCTGTAATACACAATCTCTTACATGCCTTACGAGCTCGAGCATTCATTATCTGCTCAGAATTGTCTCGCTCATACTGGGCTATTTTAGCTTCAATGGCAGGAACATCTATTCCTTCAATTAAGTTGCATGCTGTAGCAAAGACATTATTTAACTATTTGAACCTTGTAGACGAAAAGTCTAGATAGAAAAACCAAATCCTCTGAGGCAATGAACTTACTCATATCCTCCACTTCCTCAAGGTAATCATTGTACTCCTTCAAGGATGGAAAATCTTCTTCTCTCTTATTAAATCTACATTTCACAAGAAATTCACAATAATATTAAACCAAATTATGGTCGGGCAAGTCGGCAACACCTTGTATAGAAAACAACAACAGCTACAAATAAGAAAAGGATAATTAAACTACAAAATCAAGTTACAAGAATCAAAATTGTATAAATTTGATATACATTACTGCTGATTGCTACTCTTCGTCATCATCTGTATGTTTTACAAACTATCATGCCCCAAGACTGCTACATTGTTTTCCCAATTCTCAAGAAGAAAATTATTCCTTTCATCCCTATATATTGGCCACTTTACAATATTGGAACATTCCTGCACTTTCTAGATTCAATTAATTAAACTTTGAGCTTTTTACAAATATATCCTTGATACCCTATACTTTGTGGGATTGCAAAGATGTCAACAATAATGAACCTGATTAAATTTGGCCACCTGGCTAGTGATTTAGGGTCGATTAGCTATAATGTTTTTCCACTCACAATAACAAGAGAACCCGATGTAATCTAGGCATGCTAACATACCAAAGGTGCATAATCTCTATGTAATAGGTTCCATAAACCAAAGCCAATACTCAAAAATCCAAATGATTTGAAACGGAGCTCATGCCCATCCCAAGCATTTAACAATTCTGAAAATATCCATTCAACCCATCATTCCAAGATCAAATACTTGCTACACTTACAACTAGTCATAAGGTGCGCCAACTCGAGCCGAAATCAAATAGATTTTGCTGACATTAACACCTTTTGCATGACCATTTTTGCAACTTCACCATAATAGTTGTTAATATCATCCAATTCCAGATTGAATTGCACAATAAATTGCAATTAGGAAAGAATTTCAACTTGTGAAACAAATAAGCATATCTACGCATCATATGAAAAATCCCATGAACCCCATTATAATTGACAATCAACAACAGTGAAATTAAATAATGGGTAATGATAAAAATCAAAATTAAAGAACCCCAAAATATCAAATCATCAATAAAAGTAATTATAGAACAATGGGTAACCCAGAAAATTCAAAATTGCAGAAAACAAATTCAATAATGAAATTAAATTAAAAAGAGTAAGATAGAAGATAATGGAAGACAGAGAAAATACATGCTGATGATTCTCCTGCGAATAGAGACCTCTTTAGCGAAAGTGTTTCCACTTGAGGCAACCACCATTGTTATTGCCCCTTTCCCCTTTTAATCAACAATTAATTTCAGTTAATCTTAGATGATTAGAAATTAATAAAGGGAGTTAATTTGATGAATTGTAGAAGGGTAAGACTTTAGGAGAAGGGAGAGAAAAGGGTAGAGTTTTGCAAAGAGTTAGAGGGAGAAGAGGGAGGTTGGTAATTTGTATTGATGAACCTATTTTCAGACTTTTAGTGACTACCAAAACCACCAAGGCACCAAGGGTAGAAAGAGGGGAATGGGAATATGGGATACATGGGAAAGGATCTATACTCATGAAAGGCTTTCTCGATTATATATAGAGATGACAAGTGAGTATAATTTTTTAAATTTCACATCGCACCTGTTTTAATTGAAGCACGTATGAGTAGGAGTACGACTTTGGTTGATAGTGGATGGGTATGGATGTTAAAAGTTATACTCGATTACTTGTCATGTCATGGATAGTGAATAGGTTAGTGAATTTGAAATCATAATTGATTTACTTACATCGTATCCACCCACCTACACTTTATATCCACTTAGTTTGTTTGATCCCTACTCTATATTCACAATTTACAACTATTTAATGAAATATTAGTATAAATAGTTTCAAGTGGGTAAAATAAATAGCTATGTTAAAATAGATGGGTAGTAAATATTCTCTTGGGTGATAGAGCGGACGTGAATTTAGGTTCATACCCATTTAGATAGGTGTGGATGTTGGATATATATCCGACATGAATAGTGGTATAAGGAAATGATATTTGCACCTAAAACTCATACTTATTATCCTTGGTCATACACCTAGTTTGTTTGATCCTCACTCTTTATTCACAATTTACTACTATTTAATAAAATATTAAAATTAATAGTTCCAAGTAGGTATAAGTAAATAGTTGTGTCAAAATAAACGGGTAGTGAATATTCACTTGGGTGGTAGAGCGGACGTGAATTTAAATTTATATCCACTTAGACAAATGTAGATGTTGGATACATATCCACCATGAGTAGTGGTTTAAGGAAAAGGTATATGCACCTGCAACTCATATTTGTTATCCTTAGTCATACACCGTCTATTTACTCGTGTTTGAGACCTTTCTTCCAATCCTTTGTTACCCATTTTGATTATGCTAACCACTCATAGAAAAAATCAAGTTAATCACTAGGATAAACAAATTTGGATAAAAAAAAGGTGCTATCAAATTAAAAAAAATTTAATTAAAAAAGGCAAATTAAAAAAATCTGTGTGAACTCCGTCAATGGAGAACGCTTCAATAGAGAACGAGAAGCTTCATCTTCTTCCTCCTCCTTCATGCGATCCCCATTTGCCTTCATCATCCTCTTCCTCCTCCGCAACCATTTCTGACAATTTCGTAATCGATTTAAACGAAATCCCAAGAACAAATGGAGAATAGAATGACATGGTTAACCAATACGGGTAGGAGTGTCGTCCTCTTTCATTAATTTCCCCCATTAAAGCCTAGTCTTGAGCTCCATTGAAGTTTCTTGTAAGCTTCGTCAAAATCGTTCTCTTAGTTTTATTTAATTTCGAAAACGACCTTGCTTTTAGTAGTTAAAATTACGAAGATACCCTATATGTTATCTAGGTTTTTCGGTATTTAGAGAGCCACAAGAACGAGTGATGAAAATCGATTCCAAATTTGACTGAAATCGGGAGAAAAACTCTAAGCATATGAGTTATCTCTCACTCTCTATATATTATCCAGGTGATTGACTTGTATTTTCTAAACCACACCAGCCATAATATTTTCAACAATTGCCCAAAAAAGGAAAAATAAAATAAAAAATCATGTGCTAAAAACTCACTTGCGAGTGCTTAGAGCTAAAACCCTGACATAAACCTTACAAATTACAAAAAAAATAAAAAATAAAAAAATCTTGCCTTTCTTATCGCTTTTTTTCTGTGTTTCTAACATCCTAATTCTCTCTCCATAATTGCTCTTGCTCCAGTTTAATGCCATAAAAATGGCTAATTTATCAACTAACTGGGTTTTTCAAGGTTAGTTCCATCAATCCTTGATTCCATTAATTAATCTATTTTCTTTCTCTTACATTTTTTTTAATAATTTCTGGAATTGGGTTTTTTTTTTTTGTGTGGTAGATAGAGGATTGAGGTGTTTGATTCCATGTGATACATCATTTTTCAAGGTAATGTCTCCATTTACTTGATTATTGTGTTTGTAAATAATCCTCAATTTTCATTCTAGTGAATTATCTATGAATTTCATCAAAACTATGGTTTATCTTTCTATGTATTGTACAAGTATAAATTTATAGGGAAATTCTTTGATACTATTGTGGAGTGGAAAATTGTATTGCTAATTTGTATTTAGTCTGTCATATGATCCAAAACACGAATGCTAATGTTGGAAAATTTATCATATATCAAGAAGTATACTGATAAATTTAGTGTACTGATAAATTTAGTGAATTTCGGCTTTGTGTCTTTGAAATTCACCTGGTAACTCGGAGGGCCGGAGGTGTTGTGTAAGTCCTTGATTGTGATGATAATGCTATTTGGTAAATATGGGCTGACATTGACATATTTGCTTAACTAAGCTATAGACTTCGGCATGGAGCTTAAGGGGTAAAATCAGGCATGTTTGTTGTCATTTGTCTGCTCGGCTGTGTCGTAAACTCTTTGCTATCTACATTGCAAGTTAGTTAGACATAATGTCTAATTTTGTGATGATCGTTAGTTTATTGAATCTAAAATACTCGTAGATGAAAAATGAAATTGTACTCTTAGTATAAATATAACGTAACAGGTAGAGTTTATACATAACATGTATGGTATTTGTACCATTAAGCCTTGTAGAAAGGTGGTTTGGAATAGTAGAATACTGGACATGTAAGTAATTTTTTTAGGAAGTTGTGAAATCTATTAGAATCATTGCTTTATTCTAACCCTAAAAAAATAAAAAAAAAAAATAAAAAAGACTTGTTTAGAATCTTTTGTTTGATTTTGTCATTGAAGTGTTCTTGAAATCCCATGTTGTGTTTTTGACATAGGTTGGTTTCTTCAATGCTTCATCCATCTTGCAATATGAATAGGACTTTCTTTGCCATCTGATCGTATCAGTTAGCAATAGAAAGTGAAGTGTGAATCAATTAGTTCCCTTATCTTGTATCGTTGATATGAGCCGAATTTCTTATACCTGTAGGCCTCATTTGTTGCTTCATCTTCCAATGCAATGTTACCAGACAGAGGGAGGCTGCGTCTTCCATCAGTTAGGTCTCGGTCACACATTATAAAAGGTAAAAAGGAGGACGAATCCTTTGAGGAAGTATCTGTTGAACGTGCACCATATCACAGTTATTTGGACTCAACGTCGGGGAGGATTGAACCTGCCTCTGGTGCACGTGCAAGTATTCCAGGACAGGAGTACTGGCCTGAAGGCACTGTTGATCGAGTCAGGGCTGCCAGGGCTCCAGCACCAAAAGGAGAGTCAACAAGTGCTTCATCCTTTGGGAAGAGGCCTGGAAGCAGACGTAAAAACTACAAAGGATCTGTTTCTTTTGCTGGCTCTCAGGAAACAAGTCCAGTCACTTCTGACCCTGCTATAACAGAGGCTTCAGATGATGTTGATGATTCTAAAGACGATTCTTCAGAATATGTTATCTACCAATCAGATCTTGAAACTGAGGAGTTAAGTGAATATGAGCTGGACAAAAAATTTGGACGACCTCATCCCTTTGTTGATCCAAAAGTGAAAAAGCCAATAGTAGAGCCACTTACAAGTGATGAACTTTGGTGGAATTGGAGAAAGCCTGACAAGGAGCAATGGTCTAGATGGCAAAGGAGGAAACCAGATGTTGAAACGGTTAGTGGAAACTAAAAGGCTAGCTTGTATATTTTACTCTCCCTTCCAAAATTGGAGGTCGAGTTTTTGATTTTTTTTGTTAAACATCCTTAGATTCAACTTCTTTGCTTGACTAGAAAATTATGAATTTTTAATTATAAAAAGAATATTTAGTACCTTCAGGATGAATATTTCCAAACCATGGTTACAATGCTTGTACTATCAAATTTAGTTGATAAATTATGGTTTGACTTTGTTTTTTTACTAAGACCCTTAACTTTGGGGGAGGAAGTAGATTTTAAGTTGATTGCCTTTCTTCTTTTGGTGACAAGTCCTATCAGTCTATCACTCCTATGTTTGATTTGTGTTTGGTCCCCAAGAGTGGAATGTTAGAGGTTTTAATTCCAATTGACGAGCAGCTGAATTATTAGTGTCCCAGTATATCTAATGTGCTCTTGGTGCTTGTTAGGTTTTCCTCAAAGCTATGGCTGAGACTGGACAAGTGAAGCTTTATGGTGAACAACCAACACTAACAGAGACATCACTCTACAGAGCAAGACGCCATCTTTTTAAAGAGGAAAGGTACCATGGTAGCATCTATATAGATTCTTATTTCCTTGATATTTTCTTGTAATGGCTGGGGCTGGGGTATATTATGATAATAGTTCCATTCATTTAATTCTGCATGCATTATAGTGTTGAGCTCTGTGTGTAGATCACAATGGTGGAGGGGCATGGGATACTTGTATATTTATTAAATCATCCTAATTATATTTTGCAGCTTCATGGAAGATGTGATACATATAATTCTGTATGTGCATATTTTAAAACCATGTTTGTTCAACTTGTATTAGGTCATTCTTATTTTGCTGCTTAAGATTATACAGACATGCAATGAGTCATTAATGCCTTTTGTGATCTGATAACATTTAGGTCATTGATTTTCCTTATAATGGCATTATTGTAATCCAGTAAGCTGGCCTCTTTGCATTTTGAAGGCTAAGAAGAGTATTGTGCAAAAATCCTGTTTTGCTTTGCTGCATGGGTCTAGCTAGAATCAGTATACTTGTTTTTATCTGTCAATGTTCAGATACGAGAAGTTGCATCCAAATTTTTGGTTCTCGCTGCTCTCTGAGTCTCTTCGCTTACTTAAAGCAAGAAATTTGACACAAATTAGTATTTGTATTTGTAATCTGACATGCTTTGAGACAATTTTTTTTTTAAAATTCAAATGGTTTTAATTGTTGTTCGGAGTAGGCTAAATGCTGAACAAGAGAGATTGCAGAGCATAGGCCCCATGGCATATTACTCTGAATGGGTTAAAGCATGGAAAAGAGATACTTCACGTGAAGCTATTCAGAAACATTTTGAAGAGACCGGTGAAGATGAGAATACACAACTTATTGAAATGTTCAGTCATCAGACAGATAGAGAATATCGCATAATGATGGGGACTGATGTTCGAATACGCAGGGATCCTTTGGCTATGCGCATGCGTGAGGATCAAATAAAGCAAAGTATGTCTTCAAAGACTAATCTTCTAGTTTTGAAGAATTTCATTTTCTTCATGATTGTTTGTTGTTTCAATTTGAGGGTTTTGAGAGTTGCTTTATATTGTTTTATATTGTGCTAGCCTGGTGATGCATAGAGCTGATGCATGATTGTCCTGTAGTCATTAATGTTATGAACTAGGGGCTTTGTGTTTTTCTTATCGTCATTACTTGGATGCCAATCACTCTAATATTACTGAAAAATGACTGTAGTAGTGTAGTCCTAAGATAGTGTGCCATTCATTGGATATTAAATGATATGGTTCCCAACTATGGATGTTTCTTAATACGAAGTTTAAGACAGTGTGTAAAAATACAAAACTATTACTGTATGGATTTTTGTCATTGCCCTTTTAGGAATGTGTTATTCAATTTGAATTTATGTTTTCTTGGACTGGCTGAAGAGCCTTTTGGAAGCAATTTTTTTCGCAGAAAGAAGTTTGAGATACTACCTCTGTTTTTTTAGATGACACGTTTTTACTTTAGCACTATTCACACACTTTCCTTTGACCGTATTTTTTGATTTATACGTAATGAAAAATATAGTCATGTGGGATCTTGTTAGATTCGTCACAATATATATTTTCAAAATATCAACTTTTAATAATTTTTGCTTATCAGTATTTAAAGATATTAATAGTTGAATTTGTACATTGGAAAATGTGACTAAAGAAATGTGTCAACTAAAAAGAAACAAAGGAAGTATTTGTAGAACAAGTGAGATAACTATGAATCATGTATTCAATCTTGCTGGTATGATGCCACATATTTCAATTTTTTTTGTTGTTTTTCCATCTTAGGTGGTTCCTCTTAGCAATAATGCAGAAATAGCAAGCTTTCAACAATCTAGTAGCTTCATGTTGTAAGTAGAAAGCTTTGATGCTAATCCAAGGAATTCTAGTAGGTGCTCCCAATGCATGGTCTTGGGTCTTTTTTTTATTTTATTTTTTTTGCCCCTAGCTCCCCTGAATGGCTTATGATCAGCTACTTAATTCATGATATACCTGATTCTTCTATAATTCAGGAGACCGCCTAACCGAGATTGATTTATATATCCAGCTATTATATCTGTTCCTTTTAATTCATTCTTTGATGTTATTAGAAATATTATGCTATTGGTAGGCTTTTATAATCCAAAAACTGTTATGTTCAGCCGGTTTACAATAAATATTAGTGTACGTTGCATAGTTTTAGGGTAACTTTTAACCTTCTTTGGGGTAACTTTAATCCTGTTATAATTTAAATGTAAATAGGCAATGGGATAAGTTTTATAAGGGTAATATAGTAACTTTCCCTCACTGCGATTTGATTTTTATTCATTTAAAAAGAGTAACTTTATCAATAAAGCTAGATAAATTTTATCTATATTAGGGTAGCATTTATTTATATTGAGGTAACTTTTATTTATCTCGGGATAACTTTTGAACATTATAGGGCAACTTTACAATGAATGTACAATATTTAATGTATACCCGAAAGTCTTAAAAGTTGTGTTTAAAGTTTATTTGTATCTTCTTTTCTCCTTACCTGTTTTGCTTCATTCTTATCAATGCACTGAAGAAATTTGTTGTTTGTTATAGATGTTTGGCTCAACTTTCTTCCTTGCTTATGCTGTCACATTTCTGAAATCACTCTCCTTTGCAGTATGGGGTGGGGATCCCGTTTATCCAACTATCAACTACATTCAAGACCCAGATGTTGTGATTGATTATAGAGGTCCAGATTTTCATGAACCTACACCTGACATGCTAGCTCTTCTAAAGGAGGTCAGTTGTGTCATGTTATTGCTTCTTATAGTGGTGTATATGCTATCATCTATAAAACATGTCTTGAAAATGGAACACAATAGAAGCCTTCGTCATAAAGTATTTGTATATTGCTGCCTGACGAGTTTTTTTACGAGGAGCATGATATGTTTTATGGATCTTTATTGTTCTCTTATATGTTGTAAATGTTATAAGTTGCAATTAGGTTGCTGATCTTCATCAATCTTTGGAATTTTTCCTTTCCCTCTTTTGTGTTTCTCTGGTAATGACTGGTTTATCCATTTCCAATGAAGCCGGTTGATCACAATTCTTTGACTTTGGCTTATAATGGACTAAGTAAAAATAAATGAATGAATGAATATATAAAAAAAAACTCTATGTATGAGTGTGTGACCTCCTTTTTTTTCTACAATTTTTTTAATGCTTGTGAAGTATAGATTTTTGTTGCATTTTGGATCTAAGGGTAACTTGGAATATTGGCTTTTCTGTTTTTTCAAGGGCCAATAGGAAGGTTGTGTACAACTGACTGATCTGATCCCTTACCCGTTCAGAACAGAAGCCCCTCTAAACGCATTAGTGCAATGTTGTCATTTTGTAGTCGTCCATTTTAAATGTGAGAAATTTGAATGAAGATCAACCACCTAATTTGGCCAAATGCCCAAAATTACCCCTTCAATCTCCGTAAAGCGAAAGTTGAGTTCCTGACAATTTATTTAGGTTGTTGGCTTCTGTGCAAAAGAAGTAGATTCTTGATAGGACAATCTTTATTTGATTTTGTGTCATCACACATTGTCTCCTTTTCATAATAAAACTGTTAGATGATTAGAGGGCTCTTAAATTTATCAGCTAGTTTCCTTGTATCTTTAACTGTGCATGGTTTAAGTGGCAAACCTATGACGTTTAATGTTAACATGGTTTAGAGAGATGTATAGGAAGTTGAAGTTATATAGAAAATTTATTTTTGTGGCATGTTTGTTGCTCACTTTAATCATAACACTCTAACATATTACTGTGGTTTTGTACTTAAATAAAGCATTTATCTAATTTTCTTCATTATGAACTTGTTTGATCAGCATGGAAAAATCATTTCAAGGGAGGACCTAGAAAAGCTTTTGGCCAAAGAGAAGACTGAAGAGCATGAGGTAAATTTTTTGATCTTATCTACCAATATCTTCCTCGTTCCATTCTCTTCCATTTAAGAGCACTTGTCATTTTGCATGCTGGTCAGTTTCATCATCAATATGTTTGATACTCCATCCAACCTTTTCCTTGCCTTATTTGACCAAAAAGCTCTCCCATTTTTTATCAATCGGGTTAAGTAAAATGGGATGAAGCTTGTAATAAATCCATGGTTTAGGCTCATTTATTCTGTACTACGTACTTGATTATATTATAAATTTAAAATGTGATATGTATTCTCTAGGCATTCGCTTTATTTTGATGATTTCCATTGTTTAGGCTCATGTTTGTTGCTGACTTATATCTAGGCATTCGCTTTATTTTGATGATTTCCAAACCTGTGCAGTTAATTTGGGATGGAGTTACATTAATAATAATGAGAATGGTAGTTGATAATTTTTTTATGTATACTCATAAGTAATTTATCCTGCTATGTTGAGGAGTGTAACATCTAAAATGTTGGCTTATAACTAGATACTGTTAGTAATTTCTTTCTTTATTATTTTTAAAAGTATTCATGTGTGGCTTTGTAAATATCCGGAATTCCAAACCTATTATGAGAAGATTTTTCTTGAAAATAGAGTCTATTGTTCCCTTGATTGGGTAAAGATGGATTATAAATCTTGACCTTATTGCATCCCAAGAATGGAAGGATGAATTCAATCCTAGGTGTTTTTTAATTATTATAATAGTTGGTGATATGTCACTAGCATTACAATCCTTCATATTCTTTACCTGTGGTTCCTAATTTTTCTCTACAATGAGCAGATGGCAGATATGGATGACGCTATGGCACGTGCTGTGGATATTGGTGAGAATGAGGTAAGTACCATCTTTCATAATACCTCTTCCTCAAACTTCAGCCTCGCTTGATTTTTAAGGTCAATAATTCAAAAGCCTTTGCGCTATTTACGAATGGAGAAAAATATCAAGTATGGAACAGAATTCTGACTTGCAATTCTACAATATATGCTTTTCTCTTCGATGTTTTTGTGTAGGATGAGGATGAGGATAGTGACTTGGAGGGCAATGATGAGAAGGAAGAGAAGATTGATAGAAAGTGGAGTGTCCTTAAAAGCAATTCTCAGCTTCGCAAGTCAAAGGTTGTTCTCCTTCATTGTTGATTCCTTTCATTTAATGCTTATATAATTTTATCTAGATTAATTAATTAGTTATTAAGTGGAAATTATCAGCAGCACAATGTTCGACTATGTATAGACTTAGTGTGAGAAAATTAACAAGTGACTTAGGTCCCAAGTTTGTATACCCACTAGCGCATGTGGGGTACATATCGCCCTTTACCCCTTCTCACATGCAAGGGCCTGTAATTAGGCTGGCCTTGTGGCCTCAACCTGGTGTAGGAAGGCCAGGCTCGGTGCCACATACACTCCCCCCCCCCCTCCAGTCTCCCTCAACAAAAAAAAAAAAAAAAAAAAAAAAAAAAAACCAAGGGTAAAAGAATAAGAAATAGCTTGGCGTGAGAAAACACTAGAAGTAGTAGATCTTTCAGAAAAAAGCTCTTACCTGAATTTAGGGATTGAATATTCTCTAGGAATGCAATTGTCACTATTCTTGCAATGCACTTTAAGAGCCGTACAACTCTCCTGATCTTCAAAGTCCTTTCTTGTTATAATGAAGGAAAGTATACACACAGATCACAATGCATCATGATGCAAGTTTAGTTTGGTTAACCTATATTTTGAACCTCTCTATTGCCTGACAGCTTCCGAATACCCTGTTTATTAAAAATGATGTGTAAATGTTGGCATGACATAAGATTTGGTTGAGTAACTTGAGTTATATTCAGATTTTTTTTTTTTTTTTTCTTTTGTGATTCTTTCAGGACAAACCTAAGAAGAAAAATTCCTTGTCTTTGGATGAGGCTGTAGATGATTCAGAGAACTTGACTGATTTTCTTTTGGACTTCGATGAAGAAGAGTAACACCTGCAATAACTGAAATACTGATTGACTTCAGCATTAGGGTATGGATGATTAATGTGGCATCATTGTTTAGCATGTATTTCGTACTTGTATATAAGATGACAAGATTTAAATTTTTTCCTGTTACTTTAATTGTATGTAGTATGTATTCGTCACAGTCCATGGTACATTGGTACTGCTGTTTACAGATCAGCTTCTGTGAACATTTTTGGCGTATTACCTGGGCGAGTTTGTACTTTGCAATCAGAAGTGAGGATCACTTTAGCACCCAATGAACAAACGCAACAATAGGCAGCAGGCATGTATGGTAGGTGATTTATCAAATGGAGCCACGGAGAACCCCTTTGCTGTAAAAAATTGCAGTACCATCCATGCTTCTGGATCTGAATCACTCGTCATAACCATGGAAGTATCAATAATTTAGATATGTGGAAACTGCAGATGGTCCTGTTACGTTTGTTGTACATTGTAACTCTTGTAAGTCATGTATGTAACCTTGTTAATTCTTGTGAGTCATGTAACCTTGTTAGTGACTTAGTGTATAAACTAAATGATTCAGATGTTTATAGTTGACATCGGTGTCAAATGATGTTGATTTCCTTTTATTTGGATGGTATTATTGTAAGTAATATAGTTCTACTTTGACCTCTATTAAAAAAGTTTGAATGACATAGATTGAACAAGGCTTAATGTTCCGAATTTAATTAAAGTTTGAATGACATAATTTGTTTTATTTAAACTTTTTTTTTTTTTGACGAAGTTTTATTTAAACTTATTGTCATTGAATTTGTTTCAAAACAAAATTGTCCCATAACTTGACTTGTATAAATCTATTGGCTATACAACTAACTTGTTCATTAATCTTAAACTTCACTAATAAGAATTTATTTGAGCTTATTAGTCCTAAACTCCGTGAAAATAAACTTATTAGTCCTAAAATGCGTAAAAATAAGATAAATTGAGCAAAGAGTGAAATTTATTGACTATCAACTGTCAATATCAGAATGAAAAAGCCAGACATAACATTTGATTTAAAAATAATTGGGATTTTATCAATAGTTCACTCATAGTTCTGACTTTTATCAACGGTACACATCATTAAACTTTGATTATCAGCGGTGCACCTAAACTTTTCCCTAATTTGCTACAATAATAACAACGTTAATTAAACGTTAAATAAGGGTTAATTGAAGGGATTTTGCCAGCACGTGAGTTCACTAAAATGCCCCCCCAGTCATTAACTCTCCCTCCAAGCCCAACTACCAACATTTAATCCAAATTTTTTGATTGTTCATCTCCCAAACTCTCTCCCCAGTTCTTATTCTCCCATAAAGCCCTAATTGAAGCTGGATTGAAGAAAAATTTCTGGAGATTTGCGGAGAAAAATCGTGGATTAAGGTTAGCGCTGAATTGTGATTGTGATTTTGTGAATTTTTCGGTTTAAATTCTTATGTTTCAGTTAATGTATGCAATTTTGTTTTGGTGGTTGAATTATGAATTCGAGTTGAATTTTGCTCTAATGTTATTGGATTTTGCTTAGAATTATGCTCGATTTACATATTATTAAGTGTGCTTGCTAACTTTTGTATTTTTTTACATATATAATTCGAAATGGGAGTGTTTGTGTTTGTATGGTACAGTGTTACTTGTTAAATGTTTAACCTAGGTTTAATAATGTGTTGTTCTTGAGTTTGTGATGTTTTGTTGTGCTTAAATTGTAGTATTTTAATCTAATTTTGCACAATGAGTGACAAGCTTGTATTTGAGATTTAAGTATAAGGAGCATTAGTTGATATTGAAGTGGATCCTGGTACTTGCAACCTCATGGATTTAATAATAGAATTTGAAGATCAGTTACAAAAAAAAAAAGAAATAGTTATATTGAACCCTATCTTTGCTTATGCATATAGAGGCAAACATTGGCCAATAGATAATGATGGTGGTATGATTAGGATGTTTAAGACATTCTCTGATGCTAACATGTGTGCGATTTTGGTTGGGACTGCTCTGAATTCTACTTTCATGAATGATTTAGTGTATGAGTTTATATAGGAGGAACAAAATAGCTGCTGAACAAGCTAACCAGGCTGATTTAGGAGAACCACCACAACCACCTCTTGTACATGAACCACCCCTACCACCTCCTATAAATGAACCACCACTACCACCTCCTGTAAATCAACCATCGCCACCTCAAATTACCCAGCCTTCTGAGATTTAGACTAAGAACACCAAACTAAACCTAGGAGGAGATTGAGATTGAAATACTCTGAGGAAGCAAATAATGCTGATGCTCATAGTAATGTGCTTAGTCCTAGCAACCCTCCATTAGAAGAGATTTTTGGTACAGTTTTTAATCATGATCTAGAAACTACTTTGGTTGATATTTTGCAAGACAATGAAGAGGGTAATGGGAAGTAGTCTAAGCAGTCTTAGAGGGCATACACTAAGGGTAGGAATGTAACACCCTAGAAATTCCTTTCCTTTAAAATACTTGTTTTGCTCTTTTTAAAATATGAGATAGGAAATTCTAAGACATTACCGCCACCGTGAAAACGGCTAAGGCAGCTATCAAAGACACACAGCAGAAGACTCTCTTTAAAAAAAACCAATCAAAACAAATCAACTTCAAAGTCAAACCAACCAAAGTAAAGTCAACCAAAGTCAAACGAAGTCTACCTACAACTTAGAACCATTGTTAGCCCTTATTAAAACCGAAATCAGATTTAAAACCTCTGTGTTAGTCTCACAAGCAAAATATATGATAATCAAAACAATAAATCACATCATATTCTTATAAAAACTAAGCATGATTCGCTCTTCACTCATGCCCATCATGAATATGCTTCATCACTTAAAAAGCTTCTCTTTACTTTGTCCCCACTACTCGCCATTATAAATGAGTCGTCGTAGGGCCAAGATAAAGACAAGGCCAAACAAACATACAAACACACAATCAGCAATGCTGAGTACATAAGCGTAAACAGAACACACTAACATGCTTACATCCTATCATCACACAACTTACCTTGTTGCACCTGTTTACAAGCATACAACATACAACATAACCAACTAATAAACCACTAGACTATTTATTTAGCTTGATTACGCATCGAACGGGTTTCCCTCTAACCTGCCCCAATAAAGGGGTACTAACATGGGAGCTATGATCAAATATAAATTCACATAATAAAAAGGAATATACAGCGTCCTGTACACTCAGTAGAAGTTATGATCAAATATAAATTCGCATAACTCCCCCCATATCTTCATACTCGAGGTACATACGTTCCAAGAGTTTTGGTGCGCAATCTCTTTCACTTTACGTGATTTACGTATTTTTAGACTTGGTGATGACTCTCCAATCATAATACAATCAATCATAATAAATTATTCAAGCATCAAACACACCAATCAAATTCTTGAATAATTAGTGACCACATAAATTAAATGTTGAATCCTTTTTAAACTACCTCGATGTTAGATAACACCTTAAGCGCATAAAGCACCACAAATCCTATCCCTCGGTGTTTAGAACACCTTAAGTGCACTTAGGCACCAAAATATAATTTAATCCTAGTGTACATAGACACTTAAATAGCTCATTTCTCATGCTTATAGCATCAATAAAAATTATATGAACCATAATAAAATTGTCTTTCAATATTCCAACCTCAATTAAACATTTAGTTTAATTAAACATGCTCTCAATCATGCCAATAATAATTCATATTCAACATGCCAACATAATTAATTCCGATCATCAATTCACCACAAATAATTCATACTTCACAAATCAATCACCAACATCAATCCAATCAACAATTCCAACCAATACCTATCATGATACTACCTTGGAATTAATTAAACAAAGCCTAGCATGCTTCTATACACTTAAATAATTACCGAGTACGTGAACGTACCTCGAATATGATCTCAAAATCGCCACGACTACACGAAATCACTCACTTAGAAATCTCCTATAATCCAAAATTACAAAGAGACATTAATACCTATTCAATATAAATTTCCAGCAATATATACATTCTTTAAATCACTTGTAAACCCTCTAAAACAAGCTGAAAATTAATTTAAAACCCCTACTTTTATTCCCAATTAATGGGTAATTAAAAATCCTTTCAAGAAATATAATTCTAACCTTTATATAAAAATTCTAGCTTTATAAAAACATGTAAAATTACTGTAAATATGTTTTAAAACACCTATTTCAATAACATTAATCATCTACAACCAAAGTCCATCAATATATATACATTAATGTAGAAACCTAGGGTTTTCAATTTGGGGCTTTTAAATTCAAAAACCAAATCTGAAATTTATATACATAATAATCATAATCAAACATCATAAGAAAAATCATCACACAACCCAAAAACAATAATTAAATCAAGGCTAGATTAGGATTAAAACAATTTTTTTTTATGAAGCCGCATAGCCATACGACGGGGAGGGGGTTACTGCCGCCCTACATGCCGGTGGCTGCTGCTGCTGGCGGCGGTGGCCGGCCGGTGGGAGGTGGTGGCGGCGGTCAGCCACCTTGTGTGTGCGTGTGGGTGTGTAAAAATAAAGGGGAGGGAGAAAAATTAAGGGAGAGAAAATAAGAGGAGTGAGAGAGAGAGTTTACCTTTGGGTATTCTCCACCCTGGGCAAGATCTAACTTGCTCATAAGATGGGTATTTATATCCCCTCTCAAAACCCTCCTATTCTTACTTAAAAATTCCCTTTCTACCCTTAATGATCCATTCTCCTATTCAAACTAGTCATTTGACTTTCTTTAAATATCGTTGACTTTAAATTTCCTTTTATAAAATAATATGCCCCAAAGTTTCTAAATAATAAAATAAAATATTTCCAAAACCAATAAATAAATAAAAATGGACCTTTATTTAAAATAATTCTTTTTAAATTAATAAAATACCATAAATAATTCATTTCAAATTATTTAAATGCTTCATAAAATAATGATTTAAACTAAAATACGGGGTATTACAAGGAAGGAGTTTGAGAAGTATTGTGAGAAGGCTAAGGTTAAAGATGGAGCTGGTTCTTCTGGTGCTAAACCAAAGGGTAAAGAGAAAGCTGGTTCTTCTGGGGCAAAAGGAAAGGGGAAGGGTAAGGCAAAACAAATATGTTCTGGTGGTGAGAAGTTACCCCCATCTCCCATTTCACCACATATTGTGTTTAAGACACTTGTTGTTAGAAGAAGCCCAAGATTTTCACCAGCACAGACTACAACCATTCAAACCACTGTTGTTCCTTCATCAAGTCCTAACACCAGACTCTCTACACCAATCACTAACCCTAGGCTATTTACTAGGAAAATTCTTAAGAGTACTCAAGTTAGAAAAGATATTTGGACTAGTTCTAAGGTGAGAGGGAATGCTCAACCCAAACAGCTTGTGGGAAGTTATGAACCTAAGGCTAGAAGGAAGGTCACCTTTGTGAATGATGATGCTGGTGGGGGTGAGCCTAGTGACTTTAGCAGTTTTTCTAGTGATGACAAGGATTATTTTGACAATGGTGGTGAGGATGCTGATGATTCAGATACTGAAGTAATCCCTGAGGGTGATGTACTAGCCGATGAATTGATTGAGGTTAACAATGTACCCTACATAGAAGTTGCACTAGATGACAACAATGAAATCTATCCATTAGCTTATGC